ATGCGTTGGGAGGACGTATGACTGCTGCCTGCCAGGGAGCCTGCTCATGGTCAGTGCTCTGGGTATAATGGGGGCTCTTTGCCTGCCATGTCCTGACGTCCTGACATGGCAGAAGGAAGCACTTCTAGAAGGAAAGAGGTGTTTAGCATAAATCTCTTTATGCACAGAATCAGGTACCTTGGTCGCTTTTTGTTACTGCAACAAAGTACCCAAGGAAAATAATTTCAAGGAGGAAGAGTTTATTTTGGGTCACGGCTTCTGGGCTTTAATCCATGGCTTACCACTGTGGGGAACAGTATGGTGAAGCAATCCTGCTCCCCTCAGGCAGCTGGGAAGCAGAAAAAGTGAGACAGCCAGAGAGGAAGGGCCAGGGAAGGTACGCTCTTCAAAGGCACGCCCCTGGGGGGCCACTTCTTCAGGTGAGGTGCAAGGTCCTAAAGGCCCCACGTCTGAATAGTGTACACTAGAGACACGAGCTTTTTGGGGAACATTTTAGATCCAAACTATCGCACTGCAAACTATTCTCATCAGTTGGGAAAGCCAAGAATACTCTTCAAACTTAGGTCTCCAGATGATAGCTAAGGGCCAACTTTTTTATTTTTACAGTTTTGTGAAATTTTAAGAAATATGTAGAAATATCTAAAACTCAACTGAGTTATCTTCTGTTCTCAAAAAAAAAAATTTTTTTTTTTTGTCTTTTTCCTTTTTATAGGTACTGGGGATGGAAACCACGACTGCCTGTTTGCAAGGCAGGCGCTTATGCCACTGAGCTAAATCCCCAGCCCCTGTTCCCAAATTTTATTCCATTCCCCTGTAGTCTGGTCTTTCCATTTTTCTGTTTTTCTAAGTTTTTTTTTTTTTTTTTAAACTTCCAATTATTTATTTACTTATTTGTTACCAGGGATCGAACTCACAACCTCATGCTTGCCAAGCAGGCGCTTATGCTGTTGAGCTAAATCCCCAGCAAGGGCCAACATTTTAAGCAGGATTATTGTCCTTTTGCACGGGGATACACTGCAAATAATCATACGTTTTGATTCATGAATGTCATTTTCAGGAAGTTTTAAAGCAAACAGTATAAAACAGCAATATTATATACACTAAGATATAACAGCAATATTAGTTAAGCTAGTTAAAAGATGCAAACAGGCATCTAAGAATTGAAGAACGGTTCATTAAATTACAGTATAATACTGTGAAGAATTATTAAATAGTTATTAAAATTGTCTTTGAATACTTTCAATGGTGAAAAGATAAATTAAAATATTAAGTTATATATTTCAACTCAACTGAAAAAGAAATGCAGAATGAATCTAAAAAAGAGTACCCTAAAATATCAGGATTCATTCCTGAGGGACAGGTATATAAAATAATTTGTATTTGCTTTGATCTTTTCCTGCTTTTATTTTTTATTTAACGAACATATATTTGCATACAAATGGTTAGAAAATACGTTATAATAATTTAAAACTGTGTTAAAATATTTTAGATATTTTGGTCTGTGGATCGAGTCACCTTTGTTAAGATGAAATACAGGTATAAAATGTATTACACAGCACATGTAAGGCAGGGCTTAACTGAGGACCTCTTAGAATGGCAATATCCACTTGAAATGCCACTTGTCTACTGAATATGCTTCCGTTAGCCATCACAGGAAAAAGATGGAGGGAAGATTTTTCTTCTATAAACCCTAAAAAAGGCATAATGACTAATTTTTATTATAAAGAAGAGATGCAACATGAACTAGCAAGTGCAAACATTTCAATGGTCACAACAAAGAATGGATTTCTTAAATTAATTTGCTTGTTTTCATGATCACAATCCACCTACTCTGTGCAATATTAGTAATTTAACTCATTCGCATCTGCATGGGTTTAAGCAGAACTACGTAATCACAAATTTTTTTTGAGAAGGTGATTTCTAGTGTATCTTAGTTATAATTTCTCTCTCTCTCTCTCTCTCTAATCTCTTTTGTCTTTTTGAAACAGCGTCTTACTACGCAGTTCAGGCCGGCCTTGAATTCACTTTGTAGCTCTGGCTGGCCTTAAACTTGCAGTGATCCTCCTGCCTCAGCTTCCCAAGCATCGAGATTACAGCTGTGCACCGCAATACCCAGTTCTAGTTTGTTTCTTCAGCTTTGGTTTAATGCGTTCGCCTTTGTCACACAGACACCACTTCATAGAAAGCCAGGTCCCACTGCCTGCTCCCTATGACTGCATTAAGTTGCCATGTAGAAAAATTCAGACATTAATTGCATTCACTTGAGACGGGTGAAGTGGTTTGTAGCTTATTTTCAGTCACAAAGCTTTTGCGTATTGAAATGGCCCAGGGCTATGGACACTGTACAGCAGAGATCTACAGAGTCCACTTTCCTCCCTGCACCACCTCCACTGGGGCTGCGTCCCTGTCCTGCCGGAATGCGCAGACCTTGCAGCTGCTAAGCGTTGGGCAGAATGCGTGCTCGCTGCCTCTTGAGGGGTTCCTGGGCCACACTACAAAAAGCCACGTCAATGGCCCCTCCACTGGGGATGGCCTGGGAGGGCACGCGGTAACCTACACTGGCCTGGGCCACAGAGAGGCCGCAGGAAGCACGCTCGCTGCTGCGGTTCAACCATGCATGTCTGTTTCCACCGCTACGAAGAGTGACTCTAAATGGTTAGGTGTACTCAGAAACTTAATTGCTTAAGAGTGAAGTGCCTTAAAGGGCCATGTGCAGAGGAGGAGGGGGGAAAGAGGCCAGGGGAACAAAGCATTGCTACGGGTTACTTTGGGTAAAGTTTTATCAGCCAGTGAGAAAGTCCACAAACGGTGGCGGCTCAGTGGCTGTCCCAGAATGAGCAGCCCTTCTTCAGTCTTGTTTGCTTCGCCTTTTCTCTAATATAACGAAGCAACATCACATTGTACTACTGAAAGCATGGAACTTGGTATCCAAGACTTGGGTTCAGTCTTAACACGCAAACGTTCATTAACGAATTTCAGAAGCGATGCTTTTCCTAACCCTAACACTTACCCTAATTGTAACCCTAGCACTGGTCCTAACCCTACGTGGAAAGCATAGTATCCGTCATCTCTGAATTTCAGGCTTCTCCTCTATAAAATGGGGATACCAAAAAGGTCACCCTTTTATAGCCTACGTGACTGTGAACACAAAATGTTTAAGTAAACCGTAAAGTGCTATCGAAGCATGTATTACTGCTGCTGTTAGGGCTGCCTGCTCTGCAGAAAACACTTAACAAGTGCTCACAAAGCTACTAATGAACTGGTGAAGTTAAGGTAGACAATTTGTAAGACTGGATAAATTAAGACTGTAAACCAACAATAACACTTTCACCTATAACATTTACAGATATTTACCTGTAAAATACTGATATATGGAACTAAGCTGAACCACTTGAAAATATCCTGGGGGAAAACAATGCCTTACTTGCACAAACAGGTCGCCGTAATCCTCATACGGGAAGACCTCAGGAATGGCAGCTGGATGCTACTAAGTCAGGTTTAAAGTACAGAAAGAGTAGAATAAGGGTTAAGAACTGAAGTCTCCGCTAACAAATTGTATGATCTTGAGAAAATCATTTAATTTTTTCTAATTATTTTATTACTTTTCATATTTCTAAACAGGAATAGCAACAGTACCTCCTCTCAGGATTTCTATGAAGATTAAATGAAGAGGGGCTGGGGATTTAACTCAGCGGCATAAGCACCTGCCCTGCAAGCAGACAGTCGTGAGTTCGATCCCCGGTACCAGAAAAAAAAAAAAAAAAAAGATTAAATGAAGAAACAAATCCTTAACCACAAGGTTCGGTACTTAGCTATTATCAGCACCATCATACTATAGACAAGATGACTTTCTGTGAAAACAACTAGATCAGAAATTACCCGTTTTACAAGTTGAATTCACCGCTAAGTCTGTCTAGAGAAACATGCTTCTCTCTGAAAAACAGCAAAGCACGTCCACTGTGGTGCCACATCCGGGAGGTTCCCGCACACCAATGTGCTGCTTGGGCGAGGTCAGCTGTGCCCCTGGGAACTGTGGCTCCCAGAACCAAACGTGAGCAGATGTCCAAGGTGCAATTCTTCATATTCAACTAACCATCCTCTGAACCATCCAGATTCCCCAGGTTACACTTTTAAAATTTAACATTTTTAATCAAAATTGCTCGTGTCTTATATTTGCTTCTATTAAAATTTGTCTTTTTCTCTGATGGAAATGTTAATGCTTAGGCTGTGCACACATGCATATTTTTTCTAATTTGCACCGAGTGAAATCTTGTTAATACAGAACTTAGAATAATGAAGCCCTGAGAGAGGCATCTCTTGTAACAGTATATACCGTGGTAAATGATGGTGGTGCTCAGTGAAGCAATTACTTCCCATTTAATCTCCTATGGAAATGAAATAACTGCATTTAAAAGAAATAAAACCTAGCCTTTCTTGAGATGTCCTGCCAAATGAGTCAAAAACCTTAATTCTAGACCTATAAAATCAATCAAAATAATCCAACTGTGCAACTATACTATGTCTCATCACAGAAATTCTAATAAGGGGTAAATTCTGGATCGCGGCTATAGGAGACATTCTTCTCCACCCCCGCAGAGCCATGTTCTTGAGCTCACGGTCCACTCCTCAGGGCCCTGGGGGGTCCCTCCCCTGGGAAAGGCTGGGCCTAGCGGCCCAGCAGGTGCTGTCCTCCAGCTTGCCTGCCTCTCTGCCTCGTGAGCACGCTCACTGCCAGCCGGAAGCAGCCCGCTGTCTCCTGAGCTGCTGCAGACCGAACAGACTTAATCCAGCCAGAGGAGAAGAGGTTGTTTTAATTGGCTAAGTCTGCTGTGTACTAAGCGTATGGCCATAAATTTGTAGCCAAACACTAATCTTTAAAAAAAAAAAAAAATCATGTACAGTTTAAATACAAAACAAGAATGACATTTCTGCTCATCAATTCTAGTTTTGCCATGAGCTATTTCAACCTAAGATTTGACAGAGAATCCAAAATCCTGTACCTTGGCTGAAGTCGAATTTTCATGGTATACGCCTTGTACCAAGTCCATAAGAGCACTTGCTAGAAGTTCTACGACCTAAAAAAACAAGAAAAAAATTATCCCCATTTTTTTCTCACAATGCTTCAGAAGGCAGGATCTGTGCTTAACAACAACAACCAAAAGAGTTCTATGTGCAAAGATCCTGGCAAATGGCATTGCCCACCTGGATATTAAAGCTGTGATCCAATTTTTCTCAGTCATAACTCAAGCCAGAATATCTTATAAGCATAGCATTTAACTAATACACATGAAAATCCAGTAATAACCATTTTGAATATGTTTAAATTTCAGCTACTGAATGAAATCTTAATTTATTTGCTGCATGTTTATTTCTGTCAGGTGGGTACTTTTTCAGGATTCTCATTCTGGGAGCCATTACGAGGCTAATCTACATACTTAATGCAGAAGAGAAAGCAACAGCAAGAGAATGGGTAATCTTTCAGACGTGCTCATTTTGTTGTCCTTAACATGCACGGTGGGTATATTTGATGTAGGACCCTGGGGTCAAATGTACCATACACTGAAAATTTTTACAGAACTGCAATACTGAGATCATAGTCACAAACCTGTATTATTTTCAAGGCTCAGACTATTTAAAAAAGAAAATCAAGCAAAATCAAAAGCTTTGAACGTGTTCCAGAACGTAAAACAAGCAGAAAACAGTAAATGGTCTCTCTGGAACTAACGCACAATTTACAGTTGTTTGCATAAAGTGTCTTAATCCAAGAAGATAAAATAGTGCTATTAATGATAATGTTCCAGGCAGCATTTCAAACAAGGATCCCTCAAGGCAAGCCATTCGCTTCTTACACAGCCTTAATATCTGGTATATTGAACTTCCTACATTATGCAGTCTTGTATCTGATTTCTACTCTGCTTCCTAAAATTTAGCTTAGTCCTGATTAAATTAAAGGATTTTGTTTCAGCTTTTATCATTCGTGTAACTGAAGACATTATTAAGCCAAATGATACAGACCCAAACAACAAGATACTTTAATCTTAGGTAGCTGTTATTTAATAAACATTTTCCTAGAGGCAAATTATATTAATTGGTAGAAACACTTGCTTTAAAGTTTAACACATAAGCATTTATCTCCGATTTTCTATTTACATTCATACTGTGTAACATACACACGGCTGCTGATATGGAAATTTTTGCTGATTAAAGGTATGCTTTTTTTCTACCTCTGTAGATGGGTTAATTTGTAAGATCTAGTGCAACCTTTTTTTTTTTTTTTTAATCACATTGTCCTCTAGGTAACTAAATACTTAAGAAATATTGTAGCAATATGAGCTGCAGAGGAACCAGAAGGACAATGACCCTACAGTGTTACCAGATGTGTTGAGTTATTTAAGTGGGGAAGAGAGAAAAATGAATGGATTTTTTTCCCCTGAAGGTATCAGATAAGCCCTATTCCCAAATCCAGGAGGATTGAGTATCACCAACAGGGTCTATGAGAGACTGTAACTAAATGCCCCGCATTGGATTGGATTACGGTTTATATGAGCAACATCCCAAGATCCCCTGATGGCTGGACACATAATACAGATCAATCACTCACTAAGAAAAGTTATGGTTTTGAAACAGTTTGAGCTCTGAGAGTAGTATCAGTAGAGTGAGGAGGGATTTACAAAGAGCAAGTCCAATGTGAGATGTCAAATGATGGCATGAACCTTTACGCGCAGATCGGACTCTGGATAACCAGAGTGTTCCTTTCTTCCCTGAAATTCCAGACCAGGTAGAAGCAACAAAACCATTTTGTTCTCTGACTCTTTTTCTCTTAATACCATTAGCAAACATCGGCAGGCCTGACCTACAAGTTCATAATTTTTTTAGTGGGGGGGGGGCGGATACGGGGATCGAATTCGCAACCTTGCGCTTGCCAGGCAAGTGCTTGCACCACTGAGCTAAATCCCTGGCCTTAGAAGTCCACATTTTATAAATGACCCATGCTTACAAGTGACCATACTTTCCATACACCTCCACAGCCAAGCAACCATTAACATAAAGATTTGGACTTCTCTGGGTAACAAACTGAAAAGGGAGGTTAGGAAAAACAGAAATAACCTAGGAGAGCTGCACAAGAAATTCCTCCCACTACCAGAAACGTTTATTAATTTTAAAAATTGTACCAAGGAAAGATGTGTTCAAGTATATCCCTTTAAAATTGCAAGTTCTTAGAAAGAACACAGGGCTCTCCGCCACTCACAATCATACTCTAGTAAGACTGTTTAATGAGCTTTTTTGAATTACTTTAGCATCAAAGACAGTCACCTGTTTAGTTACCTGTTGTATTTAAAAATAAGAAAGCTCTTACTTAATAACATTTCTCCCACTTTGATTCTTGAAGAGTGACTTGTTCAAGCTACCAAGTGCTGGGAAGGGTAATGGCAGCCAAAGGAGAATCTAGAGACTCTTGGCGTACTGGACCAGAACAACCACAGGAGGATTTAAGGACTTCCATTCTGCAGGCCCAGGGGAAGCAAACGCTTTCTACCAGATAGGAAACAGGACAAGAGCCCCAGGGTCAGCCACCCTGGAAGCCCAGCAGATGGGAACTGCTAGGAAAGAATCCCAGGGCCCAGTTTTAGGGCCTGCTACTAATTTTTGTTGAGAGACTTGGCGAAAATCAACTCTGACCTACGGTTTTTCTCAACTATAAAGTAAGAAGAGTTGTAAAAGACGATTCCTTAAGTTCACTTCTAGTTCTAAAGTTCTAATCTATTAGAAACGCAATCTTACTATTTATAATTAGGTATGTAACCTTGAAAATGGGTTTCTTGTAAACCTGGATGAAAAATTTTGCTCACCGTGTTTTTATTTGCCATCTTCACGTGGACCTTTCCCTCCTTCTGAAATCTACTAATTACTTTGTGGAATTTTCTGTACCTGATCCATCTTCATTCTAGTACTTACTGTGACGGGTAGACTGGTAAAGGAATTCCCATTGAGTCAGTTTAGGGCAACATTAGTGAGCTGTGATCCTTGAAGGGCTCTCGTGGTTAGAAGATACATACTGAATTCAGAATGTTAGGCTTAACGGCCAAGTATTATCAAACAAATAATGGCGCTAGTTTGGCCATTTTCATCTCTAATTAGGAAACATATAGAGCATTTAAAATTTTTAAATTTTTACTAATACATGCTTACAGTATATAATGACTATACTCATTAAGGGGAATTGATACATATACATAATACATCTTTTTTCCTCTTACTCTCTAACTTTTATTTTAAAAAAGATTTTTTGCAAGCATCAGATTCATTTTATAAATCCTTATAAAATTAATTATCATAAACACAGATGAACAGCTAGACTAACATGCCAAAAATCACATAAAACACATAAAACGATCACAGTAAATCAAAATACACTTTTAGATACATTGGCCATGCGGGATTACAGTAACTTTTCCCTCTTTGTTTTTCTTATTGTCTTTTATTTTGCATTTTATTTAGTAAATATAGAGAGCATTTAGAAGACAATCTGAAACATAATAAGTCTCAGTTGGTATTATTCTTTTACACTTCTAGATTATTACTCTAGATTCAGTAAAAGTCTTAAGTGGATAAAGGTCATAACATGGACACCAAGATTACAGTGTCTTTAAAATTGTGTGCCCACAGCACCTGCATGGCAAGTGCAAGGTCATGAGTTTGATTCCTGCTACAAAAATAAAAATTGAGTACCCAAATATTTTGCAAGAAAACAAGCTTTAGTTTAGCAATAAGCACATGAAAGACTATTTTAAGCACAATTAGAGATTTCCGAAACATTGAATTCCTGTATCCTGAAACATAATGTCCAATTATATGACTGTTCACATCAATTTTTGTAAAGTTTACTTTGGCTGCCTTTAAGAGCAATTAAACAGGAACAAAACTTGTGCATTTCTGGCAATCGTCACAGTAGCAGCACTGCGTATTTCCATATGCAAATACAAAAATGCTTTCTTCAATTTGTGTCATGGTTAAATTGCACTCTAAGGCAGCGTCGGACACTATCTCTCAATCTAAAAGTAACATCCTCAGAATCCAGAGAACTGCACAGGGCAAGCCTACACTGTTTTGCGGTGTTAGCTGTGAGCTGGCTCTTCCTGCCACCTTCTTTTGGGGGGGGTGTCGGTGTACGGGGAGGAGGCTGCAGCTCAGGGAAGTACACAGACAGTGCACTCCACTGCTGCTCTCATGGCCCTCTCACTGAAGGGCAGGAGCAGGCAGGACCCAGTGCACCCCAACCTTAGCACGCTTACAGTGCTGCTATACTTGACCTTTGCAGTGAGTTTCTGAACTGGTTCACTTAAAGGACAAACTTTAGCAATTTTAAAGGAATATACAAGTACTTCCGTTTTGTACCTTTTGGCAAGAGTAATTATAATTCAGCGATTTTCTTTTTGTTGTTGAAAAACTATGATGACTACTCACATAAAAGTATTGTGATGACTCATCCCTGGGCTATACTAAGTTACATTCATAAAAAACCAGTCGGGAGCCATAGCTCAGTTAACAGTGTGCCTGCTTAATAGGCAAGAGGCCCTGATTTCGATCCCCAGCACTGCAAACAAAACAAAACAAACAAACAAAAAAATAGAAATTCAGAGAGGTAGGCAGTGGTTAGAGAAGAACAACGACCAAAAATAACCTCCTGCTGCAATATAAAGACATTTGTAACAGATTCTCCCCCCTTTTTTTGGTACTGGGGATTGAACCTCGAGTTTACCCCAAAAGCTCTTGAACCACTGAGCTAAATCTCCAGCCCCTTATAACATATTCCCAAGGAAAAAAGCTGATTACAAAACAAAATAGTATAAGAGATATTTTTAAAACAAAAGTGAGATAGTTATGCTTTTTTTAGATCCTGAGAAAAAAGGCTGAAAGAAACTAGTATGCCAGTAGTGATGATACGCACGTGACAGCGTCTGGATTATTTCTAATTAAATCATTTTTCTTCAACCTTTCTCCGCTAGCCGCTTTCTTCTTATTGGGACAAAGTGCGTGGCATCTTCAGCAGAGCGGGGCTTACCTTGGCTGTGCT